CCAGCTACTTGGGAGGCTGAGGCAGGAAACTCGCTTGAGCTCAGGAGTTGGAGGTTGCTGTGAGCTGTGATGCCATGGCACTCTACCCAGGGGGGGATAGCTTGAGGCTCTGTCTCAAAAAAAAAAAGGTGAAATTAATTATAATCATATATCTCTGCAGTCCCCAACCTCTAGGGGTTAAACTGGTACCCATCCATGGCGTATTAGGAACTGGGCTGCACAGCAGGATGTGAGCGACTGTATTTATAGCCAGTCCCATCACTCACATCATTGCCTGGGCTCCGCCTCCTGTCAGATCTGCAGCAGCATTAAATTGGTTTTTTTAGGGGGGGACAGAGTCTTACTATGTTGCCCTTGGTAGAGTGCCGTAGCATCACAGCTCACAGCAACCTCAGATTCTTGGGCTGAAGCGATTCTCTTGCCTCAGCCTCCCAAGTAGCTGAGGCTACAGGTCCCCGCCACAACACCCAGTTATTTTTTTGTTGCAGTTGTCATTGTTGATTTTAACTGGCTCTGGCTGGGTTCGAACCCTCCAGCCTCTGTATGTGGCTGACGCCCTACCCACTGAGGTACGGGTGCCACCAGCATTAAATTTTTATAGGAGCTCAAACCCTGCTGTAAACTGCATGTGCAAGGGATCTAGGTTGTGTACTCCTTATGAGAATTTAATGCCTCATGATCTGAAGTGAAACTGAGGCAGTGATACTAGGGCTAGAGAGCAGCTTCAAATACAGCATGGGACCATCTAGTTGCAGGAAATCAAGCTCAGGGCTCCCACTGACTCTGCATTATAGTGAGTTGTATAATTATATAATTATATGTTATAATGTAGTAATAAGAGAAATAAAGTGCACAATAAACGTAATGTGCTTAAATCATCCTGAAACCATCTACCCCAGTCCGTGAGAAAATTGTCTTTCATGAAACTGGTACCTGGTACCAAAAAGGCTGGAGACTGTTGATATATCTTATTTAACCCAGTATATTATCATTTTAATATATAATATAAATACATTGTTAGATAGTTTTATTTATTTATTTTGAGACAGAGCCTAAAGTTATCGCCCTGGGTAGAGTGCTGTGGCGTTACAGCACACAGCAACCTCAAACTCCTGGGCTTAAGCAATTCTCTTGCGTCAGTCTCCCAAGTAGCTGGGACTACAGGCACCCACCACAACACCTGGCTATTTTTTGGTTGTAGTTGTCATTGTTGTTTGGCAGGCCTAGGCTGAATTCGAACCCTTCAGCTCTGGTGTATGTGGCTGGTGCCTTAGCCGCTTGAGCTACAGGCACCACCCAAGAGAGTGCTATGTTCATTTTTATACTAAATTTTTGTATATCTAAATCCATGTGTATTTACATTTATAGCAGATCTGGATTTAGATTGTCCACATGTCTTTTTTTTTTTTTTTGAGACAGAATCTCAGTATGTTATCCTGGGTAGCCATGGCATCATAGCTCACAGCAGCCTGCAACCTCAAACTCCTGGGCTCAAGCAATCCTCTTGCCTTAGCTTCCTGAGGAGCTGGGAGTACAGGTTATCTGCCACATGCCTGGCTATTTTTAAAGGTGGGATCTCATTGCTGATTAGGCTGACCTCAAACTCCTGACCTCAGGCAATCCACCCATCTCAGCCTCCCAGAGTGCTAGGATTGCAGGTGTGAACCACCTTGCCCAGCATGGTATCCACATGTGTCTCATGACAACTCTATTACTGTGCAGTGCAGGCAGAGCCTAAGTCCTTCCCATGAAGCCTCAAGGGTGAGCTGCCAGCCACATGTCAGCTAACAAAGGGAGGGATTTGCTTGGCAAGCAACATGTGGCTATTTTTATCTGATGTCCCATTAGCACCTCCTGCTGGAACTAACCCTACTGTGTACCCTCTGTGTTCTTGTGAGCTCCTTAAGAAACCACTTTTTGCATTTTTTTCAAAATCCCTACCAAACTACCCCTATCTAGTACCAAAGTTTCAACCATTTAGCAGATATTTATGGAGAGCTACTATGTGCCAGGTCACTGGCCCTAACAGAGATGAGGTCAGAGGTTCCTGATGTCAGGAAAGGAAGGAGCAGGTGTAGTGAGGGAAGGAGAGTGATACAGATGCTTATAATTAGAAGAGGCTGGGATGCATCATGAGTACAGCTAGGTGTGCTTGCACATTTTTTTTTTTCCAGTTTTTGGCCAGAGCTGGGTTTGAACCCGCCATCTCTGGCATATGGGGCTGGCGCCTTACTCTTTTGAGCCACAGGCGCCTCCCTTTTTAAAATGTTTTTTAATTTTTTTTTTTGGCTGTACACATTTTTTAACAACCGTAGAAAGGTCTGCGCAGTGTCCAAGAGGAAGACTAGAGAGGGTAGGCTTGAGGCAATAGCTGCTTCTTGGTGTCAGGCGCAATGGCTCACACCTGTAATCCTAGCACTCTGGGAAGCAGAGATAGGCAGATTGCTTGAGGTCATGAGTTGGAGACTAGCCTGAGCAAGAGCAAGACCCCATTTCAATTTTTTGAGAAAGAGTCTTACTCTGTCACCCTTGGTAGAGTGCTGTGGTGTCATTGCTCACAGCAACCTCAAATTCTTGGGCTCACAGCAAACCTCAAATTCTTGGGCTCAAGAGATCCTCTTGCCTCAGCCTCCCCAGTAGCTGGGACTACAGGTACCCACCACAATGCCAGGCCAGTTTTAGAGATGGGAGGGATCTCGCTTCTGCTCAGCCTGGTCTCAAACTCCTGACCTTAGGCAATCTGCCCACTTCAGCTTCCCAGAGTAAGAATCCATCTCTAAAAATAGCTGGACGTTGTGATGGGTGCCTGTAGTCCCAGCTACTCAGGAAGCTGAGGCAAGAGAATCTCTTGAGCCCAGGAGTTTGAGGTTTCTGTGAGCTCTGACATGACAGTACTTTACTAAGGATGACAAAGTGAGACTCGGTCTCAAAACAATAAAAAATAGCTGCTTCTTAACTGGGAAGTATTTCAGTACCTGAACATTTAGAATGGCTGTATCAGTGTACACCCAAGGTGAGCACAGCACCTCGAGCATGGAGTCCAACACCAAGCATGTAGTAGATGACAGGTGAACACAGAAGGGCATGCAGTGGGTATTCTGAGTCCTGAATGGTGTGTGTCCTTGTCCCAGCCCTTCCTCAGCCCATCTCAATGACTTCCTTGTCTGGCTTTCTCCATAGGGTTGGGCCAGCCCCTGCCAAGTGTGCCACAGCCCCAGGCCTTGCCCACGGGTGAGGATGAGGGAGACAAGCTGGAGCCCAAGCAGGTGGTCCTCATTGACAGCTCCTACCTGTGCCAGTTCTGCCCTAGCAAGTTCAGCACCTACTTTCAACTTAAGTCCCACATGACCCAGCATAAGAACGAGCAGGTAGGTGGGTGGTGTACAGACGGCAGGGGGTCATACCTCCCCAGGTGTGACTGCTGCCTGCTACTGGGGTCTTAAATGCTGCCTGGAAAGGGACGAGAGTCAATTGAATCTTCTCCCACAGCTCTTTGTCCTTAGGATAGATTCCTAGCAGAGGGGTGATGGAGTTAAGTGAGGTTACCCTTGGGACAAATCACAGAAAATTTAGATTCAAATTGGCTTGGCGCCTGTGGCTCAAGCGGCTAAGGCGCCAGCCACATACACCTAAGGTGGCAGGTTCGAATCCCCAGCCCG